ATATATATATATATATATATACGATAAAGATGAATATTTGGAATTATGGAATGATTTTTGTAAGCCTAATTGAATATCCATCCATGTGTATAGATAGTTTACTATGTGCTTGCGTGCAGGTACGAGAGCATAGTGATATTTTTGAGTAACTAGAATAGAGCGTACCATCCATTTTGAATCAGCAAAAATAGATTAATGTTCTGTATTACTACGCAATTGCCGTGACTCAGAAATGCCAATAAGCCTCGAAGAGATGTGAAAGATGTTATGCTCTGGTCTAATTACTAACCTAGATCACTGGGGCTTCCTACCTACTCATTCACACACACACACACTCACATAAATATGTACATACACTGGAAGACATGAGGTTGAATTACTGAGGATGAGCAGCTTGGTTTTCTTGTCTGGCTGCAAGCTTGAGGCATGTACAAGAATTTTTTCCATCTCTGATGACGTCTTTCATGCCCGCTACGTTTTCATCGGATAGATGGGGGATGTATCGAAGACTGTCTCTGTCTGAAGCTACCAGGAAAATGAAGCTATAGCAGACCACAAGAAATCTGTATCGTCTTCATGGAAAGACCGTCCTACGCGAATCTCCTCATCACTCTTTTTGATGCATAATCAAAGTCAGCCCGGCAATTTTGCTTTTTGCACTAAATCACCCAGGCTAAAATTGCAGTCCAGGTATGAAACGAGAGCATTGACCTCTGCCCTCAACTGGTCGATCTAAGGCAGCCAAAATGAAGAGCACAATTTGTTTATGCGTCTGCCCTCTTCTTGCGCTTTTAACAGATCGCATAGCCAACTTTATGGCCGTGATAGGGTCATTCGAAAAAGCTACCTCTCACAACATCGTGCTTCATTAGGGTCATTTAAAGTGGAAACATCAATTGAAGGAGTTGAAAGAGTTCTCCATCAACTAAGCCCTCGCCTATGATCAAAAATAATCAAGGACAATCTTACTATGCGAGGTCGAAACTGCAGTCCACCCTGGATGAGAACATCTTTTGGAAAAGCAAGGCCATGTGAAATTCCATGTAAACGTCAGCTCTACTCATATGATTGTGGGAAAAATCAACTGCCAGTACTTCGTCACCTTAAACGAAATAGGGTGAATACAACTCATATATGTGATTTACTGGTAGTCTCGAAAACCTACTCACTTACGAAAACAGTCTTACAATGGCTTTTGTGTTTTTTTGAAGTCATTCTAGGCGTAATCTCCTCCTTGTCTAAACAATAAAAGAATTGTAATTCATGAAATCTCTGATTTTTTTACGGAGAATATTAAGATATTGGCTATATTCAGCTAAAAGATTGAATGAATTTGTACAGTTAATTTGGGAGGCAGATCTATCAGTTAGTTTTGATGTACTATCTATGTCCACTCACATGAACGTTGTAGCACTCACCCTGGCGGAGCATTTAGAGATAATGTAAGGACAAAGTTTAGTATAGCCTCCATTCTATTTCACCTTTGACGGTAATTTTTACGCACAGACGCAAGGCTCACACTGGCATCATGTTTAGCTCATATTTTGGCAATTAATTACATATAAAATTTAAGGAAAGCCAAATGGAAGAGGTTTACTGACCCTATAATTGTTAGTATGATATGTGGGTGGCCAATTTTTCATTAGATATCATGGTGAGGAAAGATAAGATGGCTATCTATTTTCACATAACCAGCGTGATGGCAATATAATGCTTTTAAAAGTGTATTAGAGAAGAAAGAAAGTTTACCATTCTGGGCTGGCCTGGTTTTGAGAGGATATTGTAAATTAGGCAGAGGCGATTACTAAAAACCCTCATATTCTGGTTCTGTCTGAAATTTTAATTCTAACTTTTGTTACAAGACTAATATTGGGATATTGAAGTCAAAGTTTATCAGGAGTATGTGACTTGCTGATAGAAATCACTTGAACGAAGAGGTAGATAGGCTAAAAAAATTATAGAGTAGCTTTATCAACTGTCAATATATCTTGAATAATAGTCGCACGATGACATGAAGAAGTTTATTCTGAATGAATCGGCAATTTTTGTCTATTCCGCTCAACTAGCAAGTGTCTTACTTATGCACACACGCACACGAAATGAAAGTCACCATAGAGATGTTGTCTCAGTAGATTCGTCGAACTCCAGTTACAGTTCTTATACATCCCGAAATATTGTTGTGAAGACTTTCATTTCGTATGGAAGTACAGGAGGAAGTCAGGTTACGAAACCACCAATCAGAACCCGTTAATCCGGGCTATTAAGGTTTGATGACCGAAGTAGTTTTGCGCGTCTGTTTGGGTTGCTGAGCTTGATACGCCTGTTGAACGAGTGTGGATTTGGTTAGAAGCATCAGTCAGCTGACGAGATGAGCCGTCTTCTTCTCTTTCAATCTTTCAATCGAGGATATGGAATTTTTACTTAACTTTCTAAAACCATTTCTCACATTCAACGTATCTCCCAGTCTGTTAATGCGAAAATTGGGTTTCGAAGATTCCCCTATTAGATTGATGTTGGATACCTTTCATTTCGTTTGAAAAGGCGTGTGGAAATGATTCGTAAGTTGGTTCCTTAGGAAGCTGTAGGAAGATTGCCTTCGAGTTGTGATTGGAGAATTGTGCGAATTGATCTTCGGCCAACCGCCACGCGACGGTGATTATTCCTTGCTGGGCTTTCCTCCGTCATATGACGGACATCGTCACAAAACGTAAGGAAAGGTTCTCCAATATCAAACTTGTATTTTGCCATTCCAATCGATTACGTTACTTATATTAAATGAAAGTAGTCCTTGTGGCATAATAGTAACATTCCGGAATTATACGCTGCACTACCCGGTTTTGATTCGCGCCGATGGCGCTGACGAGACCCAGACACAGTCGAAGCTGCAGTTCAGTCCAGCCTGGATCAGGATCCCTTTTGGAAGACAAGACTGAACTAAATTCAATGAAAACACGGGACCCACTCACATGATTGTGCGAAAATGCGACTATCAGTTTTTTATCACATCGTGCTCTTTTTCAATAATCACATTTTGTCTAATAAACTCAAGCATTCCTCTTCTGTAATGGCAGGACTGTTCCGACTGGTTAGACGCCTACCTGTTCTCATCTGAATATGCCTCTACTCACGCCAGTGAATCCGATTGCTGCCACTCCAGACCGGCCCACGATTCTGGGACGTCATTTCGTGAATCGAATGCCGCGAGTATTCATGAAGGCAGCGACGTCGGTGGCGATGATGTTGAGCTACACGCGACCTGCAGGTTGAATGGAGCCTGCGAGTCGGTGCATCTGTCAGGCCAAGGTGAGGTTGCTGATCGCTTTCTCCGAGGGCTCACAGTCGCCAACCTGATGGCACTGTTGATCAACTTCTACGCTCCAGAACTTGCCCCAACAGAAGGCAAGTTTTGCGTGTCTGCAGATAAATGACGACATCAGAGGAGCATCGAATCTTGGCTCCTTATTGAGCAATTCAAAAAACAATCATCAAAGCTTCTTTTAATCCCTTGTCATCAACAATGCCAATGCATCTGCTTGCGCATGAGCAGGAAATCTTCATAATTGTTGAGCTTACTTCCATTTCGAGTGGAAGTGTTGGGTGAAGATAT